TTTTATGACAAAATATATGATGAAGATAAAATAACTTTGGTTCAAATAAAAAAAATGCCAATGTCCAAATATAAGATGTCTTAAAACATGATATCTGGACATTATCAAACTTTAGGCCAAAGTTACACCAATTTATGGTATTAAAATTATTTTTAAATTATTATTACTCACATCCTTCGACGTACAATCTTCGAAACGTATTGCATATCCGACCTTGTCGCCTAGAGCAGTAGCCATCTCATCGGATACTCTTTTCGCGACGGACATGGCAGCAACTCGTCTTGGTTGAGTACAACCAATTATACCGTAGCGGCTGTAGCCATCCTCGTGAAGATACTGCGTTAATTGTGTGGTTTTACCACTACCAGTTTCACCTACTATTACAACAACGCTGTTCTCCCTGATAACATTGAGCAGTTCCTGACGTACCGCGAATACAGGAAGACTCCTCCTTTGATGCTGTATAGATTTGTACTTAGCTTCCCCTGTTATTTCTCCCGACCCTATGTGCCGGGCATACTTTTGCCCAGCTTTAAAATCTGTTTCTTGCCCCGCATGCTCTTTGTCGTCTTTACGCCGATCGTGTACACCCATAATATTGCCGATGTGCGTCCCTGCCAGTTCCCAATGCTTTTTTTGAGCCCTACGTCTTTCCTTTTGCTCACGGTATGCTTTGACTAATGCCGAACCTTTCCTTGCTACTAGAGCCATGTCAGAAGTAGGATCACGCACAGGTACAACTGGTTCTGGTTGCTTCGTGAACACGATACGTCCATCCAAAAATGGTGGGACCACGTTATGAACCAGCAAGTGAACTCTTGCCTCTCCCTCGTCATCAGGATCGTCGTCATGATCTAACGAGCTTACAACTCCGGACGTTAACATACGGTTACGTTCCCACAATTCATTGTCCTTATTTATTTGTCTTTGCTGAGCAGAAAGGCGTTTCTGTCTCCTGGCCTCCAACTCCATTTCCTTCTTCCGTGTATATTCTTCGGACACATTAGCGAAAGCGTTATTCTCTCCATCATCTAACGCATACCATTCTCTGTCTAGTCGTTGCTGTTCCTCTTCCCACATTTCCTTCTCCTCTCCGTCTATCATCGGAGTGGCACCGGAATTCTTAAAATCTTTATTCCACGAGTTGTATTTATAGGAAGGAGTAAATTCGCTTCTGACACTATCACGACCATCTCTGTTAGTGTACAGATTCGGTGTCGGATGATCCCAGCTGGATCGTTTTGGCTCTTCGTCTTCGTCGTCGTCCCAATTGCTCTTAGAAGTCGGATCTTTCGTTCGAAATTTTGGCGTTTGGGGCTCATCCCTGAATCTAAGAGGCGTTTGTCTTATACTACTATCTCTGCCTCGACTTTCTCTATCTCGATCCCTTCGTCTATCTCTGTCTCTCTCGCGACTTTTATACGAATTTTTAGAGTTTCTATCATCTGCACTTAATCGCTGACGCTTAAGTCGTGACTCTAATCTCTGTTGTGCTTCAGAATTGACACCTCCAGTATGAGTAGGAGTCTCCTCTTCATAAGATCGATATCTTCTGTCCTTTCCTTCGGATTTGTTAGACTTGGAGCTGGTAGGCTCCTGCGATTGCTCTCTTCTTTTTCGTTCTGCAAGCTTATCAAGACCTAGTATAGAAGGTTTCTTGAAAGTGTGATCTGATGTTTTCTTACGTATAACCAGACCACCCCCTTCATTTCCTACAGATCCCTCTAATCTATACAAGTTTGAATCGTCTGACATTTTCCTTTTGATATATTTAGCCAAATCTCAGTAAAATATTATCTCCTGAAAAATAAAATAGACAAATCACATTTTAAGAACTGCTATTGAGTAAATAAGATCTGACAAGAACTACATTGCATTTTATTGAAATACTTATAAAATAGAATACAACGAATAGATCATTATGTTTAAAATTTCGAAAAGATATAATTTTTAATTATTAAAAATAAAAAAAATTAATGTTTTGAAAAATTGTACTAACCTAAAAATTGTACTAACCTAAATTATAGCTAGGCGTAAAGAAAACAGCGATGTATCACGAGAACGTAGTTTTCACATCCATTGGAGTAATTGGTTAAAACGCGCGATATATATATTTACCAAATTCGAATATTATATATATATTTACGATATAATTTCAGGAAATATATAAAATAATTCTCAATATAAAAAGTAACCTAGAAATATTACTGAACAACACATTACAGAAAATGCGTGGAAAAAGTGATGGAATGAGTAGTAACCGTAGTAAGATGAGGTTACACATACGCCATCTTAGAAGCTAAATAGAAATGAATCTCGAAATATTAATCGATAAACACAACTGTCGATAAATTTAATATCAGAGTTACATAGATATAGACGTAATACATATAAATATTATATGCATAAATAATATTGTAATAAAACGTATTAAAATGGTTAAAGAACATATTTTACTATCTTTAGTCTTATTTAAAAATACGCAACATAAATCTCGTATTTGTAGGTTTTAATTCAAATAATATATATTTTTTACTTTAATTTTATATTTCAATAGCGTTTGAATGTACGATAAGCACAAGCAATTATATGCACTAGATCACCGTACAGGAAATCGATTATGTATCTTAGAAAAATCAAAATTACAAAAGTGAGCAAATTTACTAGAATATTTATCAATCATTATTCAGTGAGTTTGCTCACTTTTATAATTTCCATCTCATTTCAAGATATACAATCGACCTCGAAACGAGGTAAAAATGATAAAAGTGAACAAATTCACTAGAAATTAGAAATATTTTAGTAATTTTTCTTACTTTTGTGTGTAATTTTTAATTTATTTCAAGATACACACTCAAACCGAAAATATATAAGTGATCCCTTGATTAACTTTTTCTATACACTACAATTTTTTCTAAATCTTTTTATATTTTACTGTTTCTTAAATATACCATGCGCATGCGCAAACGCACCAGTTGATTTTACGCCATTAAGCGTAGCCGGTTTGAAATTCAATTCATGTCTTTACCTTCGTAAGTATTAAAAATAAATTGTGCAGTAAATAAAAATTATATCATTATAATATAACTGTAAAATTATGTTTAAACATACTGTCGCTATCACACACGAACGGTCCATTAAATGGATCGGACAATTTATTGCAATAAAGAATAAAGATCGGCATTCGAAAACACTATTCGAGTGCCTTCGAGGATCATTTCATTCGTTGTTAAATTGAATGTTAAATAACAATAAAAATGATGTTCGGAAACACTCGGGTAGTGTTTTTAAACGCGCCCTAATAGAGAAGTGATGGCGCGCGCATGCGCGGATGTTCTCGCGGCGAATTCCCGGCTCGGAGTCGCGAAGCGAGATCGTTCTGCGTTTGGTTTCGGTATCGCGTAAATAATATAAAAAAAAAAACGCACACACCGCACGATCTGGCGCGTGCCGACAAACGGCGGAAGTCGAGTCATGACGACGCGTTAATTAATATTCGCGCTCACAACGTTGATTAATCGTCGCGATTGTTTGTCCGTCGTACGCGTTGTCGCTCAGCGCCAACGTTGCCGTCCACCTCAGGTGACCGTTGAAACTTGAAACTATTAGGATTCCCAACCTTTTTCTTAACAACTCCCGAAGGCAGTATCCAAAATAATTTTTTAATTATGTCTCGAAAGCAAATTCTCTTAATCGAAAACGCGTAAGTCTAGAACCTTCCGAGCGAGGTTTTAACCCTAATCGCGATGTACGAATTGTGTATCGGATATCGGGAGTGCCATATGTGAATCATTGGACGAACCGTTGTTGCAACGATTCATCGGTATGTTGTAACAATCATCTCTCTACTCTATTTTCCCTTTTGTTGAGTTATCGAGTCACTTTCTGTGAGATTATCGACAGGAAATAGCATGTGCGAGCAGAGATCGTTGATTTGTATGGATTTTGTAAAATTTCATATTTCATATTTTATATTTCACAATATTTCATATTTTTTAATTGTTATAAGAAAATGCTGAAGAATTATAAAAGAAAAATAATATAATAAAATACAACGCAATAAAACAATGCAAAGATAATAAAATAGAATACAATGCAATACTGAAAAAAGAAAGAAATAAATGTAAAAGTTTGCTTAGTCGCATATTTGCACATTGTAGTATATTACAGTATATTTTGGGATTTGTATCCTTAATAAGTAATGATAATATTTTGTGAAGTAAAAAATGATATATTTTAATAAAATTTTGTAATATAATTTAATGAAATTGTAATAATTAAAATGTCTTCTCTTTATATTAGAGAAATCGGACTTCAAACTAATTTAAGCAATCATATTTGTAAAGCTAACTGATGGCTATATATACTCAGCAAACTGATATTTGATCTGTTCAAACTGAATTTCCACGTTGGAGAGAAAAAAGGAAAGATGAACGGTGCAGGAAGTTCAGCTTCATCAATTGCTGGGATGTAAAATATGAGTTTAATTGCGCTTAATTTTAGCACTAATATTCTTCTTCTTAATTATTTATTATGTTTTTGACTTTTGTATTTTACAGCAGTTATTATTATTTTGTTATAAAGGTTGAGCGAAAGAAATTAAAATTAATTTAACATTCGCCCCTATATGTATATCTTAATAATATTTCAACAGATTGCGACCTTTATTTCAGAGAAATCGGACTTCAAATTAAACAATAAATAATGGCTATTTATATAAAACATGAGTCTAATTACGTTATTAGAATACTATTCTTCTTCTTTTTAATCATTTATTAATTTTTTAATTTTTATATTTTACAGCAGTTATTATTTCGTCACAAAAGTCGAACAGAGTTAAAATTTAATCATGCGAGACAATATTAAAGTATTATTAAATTAATTTTATATTTATTTTGATATATATTTTTTATTGTATGATTGCTATCTTTAATTTTTATATTTGAGTTCAATATAATTCCCAGATTGAGAAAAAAATTATGATTGATCTAAATCTTTTATTTATTTAAATGAGTTTCAATCTAACCAGTCACTTCCGTAAACAGACTTTTGCTACGACGATTTTTAATCGATGTATTGTTTTCTATAGTTTTTTCAATAGGCTTAATATCATCAATATTAGGTACATGGAAATGAGTTGTAGAATTTTGTTGATTTGTCGTTGATTTTGGCGAAACTATATTTTCATTAAGACTTTCTTTAGCTTTGTTGCATAATTCTTTATTTGCTATCATTATCGATTTTGTATCCTCCTTCAATTTGTTATTTTTATTATATCTTGTCCAGCAGCGTTTGAAATTCATGAGAACGTCTTTCCAGATGCACAGCTCTTCCACTAGAAAATAATATTATAATTATGAATTATTCAATTTAATTATGAATTGTAAGTTCAAATCAGTAGATAATTTTTTAAATTTGCCATCTAAACTTTGTACTATCACAAATAATGGAAAAATATTTGAACGCAGTATTTTATACTTCCTGCTAGAAAGTATAATGTTGCATTAATGTTACATTAAAATTGCATTAATATTAGTAATATATTTATGTTTTATAATATCATAAAAAAGAGTCTCAATATCAAAAGCGTTTAATCAAATTTTTGGATTTTATGAATCATTTATAAACTGGAACTTCTTGTCAAATCCATGAATGAAGCTTTTCTTTACTCTTAATTGTATCGTTTTAAATGTTTTACCATACAAAAGTAGTGTTATAAACATAAATAATCCCGTAGGCAAGTTTGCATTGGGTAACACAGTGTATGCCAATCCAAAAATAGCTGGCCCTTCGTGAAAAATCATCCCTTCAATAGTATTGACAAGCCATGGCAAATAAAGATATGGAATTCCATATATGTCGCCAATTGTTAGCATTGTTGTAGATATCAATGCTGCAAGCAGGTCTCCTATCATTATCTTAACCCTCAAATCTGCGTTAAACAAGAAATTTCTATGCGTTATTATTATCATGCTCGTGTCAATTAATCTTGTCAGGCTGAAGCTTAGTTACTGTAATTTCGGCGGAATATATTATTAAAAACCGCAGGTTTTGTTGAAATAGAGCGAAATAAACTGCGAGAACCAGCTTCCAGAGCGATCGAGCTTAAACAATTGGTAGCAAAATACATTATGCCTAAATATAGCATCTTGATCTGAAATAAATATAAAGAATAAGAAATACATATTTTAACAGTCAAGCAATCAATAATCAACAATTAATTAATTGTTTAAACTAAATGCCAAAAATGTAGGTTATTTTTTGTATTTTATAATAACTGTCTTAATTACAATTTTAAGTTGAATAATGAAATGTAAAAATTTTGGAAAAATAATAATTGGTGAATTATTATTTTTAACTACCAAGTGGAACTGAGAGAACTGACCACTTGTTTAATCAGAATCAATGGAAAACCAATTATACATATTTACCTTGGAATTTCTTATTTCATGATCATCTTTAATTTTTGTGTCTGAACTCGATATTCCCGAGTCGAGAATCATGATTAATTTAAATTTTCTGTTAAATTTCCTAAAAATTTCTTTAGTTATTATTGTATTGATTGCTTAATGTTAGATTTGATTGGTTATAGATCATTATACATGTATCATCCATAATTTGTCCGAAAGTTTAATGACACAAACAAAAGACAGAGCAAACAATAATTATCTAGCTTCAGCCAGATAAATTTTTTGTGTTTTTTCTACATATTTCATCTTGATTTACATTTATTATATTTTATATACGCTCGAGTTTCTAAAATAAAAATATCATATTTTTTATTTATACAAAAATGTGATATATTGTGATAAGTAAAATGTGTAATATATTGTAACAAGTAAACTACTTACTTTCTCACTTTCACTTTTTTACATATTGCATATCATATTCGAATTTCATTTATAATTCTTATCTCCATATCTTCTTTAAAATTAAAACTGAAAAGAGCCATATTTATGTTTTGTTTTATTTGATATCTTATTTTATATAGTATTGAGATTTACAAAATATAAAAGATACATACATATGATAGTTACACCAAGCAATTTCGAATAACACTTCTTAAAAGCTTTTGCTGCTTAAAATCTCTGCAACGTAGAAGAAAAGGCAAATGGCATCGTGTGCGGCCCGAAGATCCGCTCATTGTTTGTCTAATGCATATTGACTATTAACAGCAGATCCGTTTGCCTTATAGGTCAAGCTGCGTCTACGTCACGTCCTTATTCGCTAAGCAGTCTCATCGCTCCCGGTTATCTTCGGCTGCCATCCATATTCGGCGGTCTCACCCATGGGCAATGCCAGTCGCATTCATAAAAGCGTCTACCTGTTTGGTGAGTAGAACGCATTAAATACCCATGCATTTAAGCGAAAGGACATCGTCATAAGTTTTAGCGTATTCAGCGTATGATACCTCACGATAAATAGCTCATTCGTACTCGTGAAACTCCGTTTATTCAGAACATTGTTTGTCAAGACCATCTAAATATTCTAAATCGTGTTAAAAAGATGTAAATTTAATTATATAATCACTTTATAAGTGAATTATTAGCATCAAATAGGAGAAACAGAAATAACACGATGATCGATAACCGGATACATAATTTACGATCGTTCGTTTTACGATATGACAGAATATCTCTATTGTAACGTCTCTCTTTTCATTTATGACAGCAAATGGAATAAAATAAGTATAAAGAAATCTAAAAAGTTATAAAAAATACAAAATTGTAAAGTCCAAATTTGTTGAACAATGAATTAAAAAAATATTATTCTGTATGTTAATTCTTAAAAGCTTCGTAAACAAACAAGAATATATAGGCAAAATCAAAATCATTCCGACGAATAACATATAATAACATTTTTATAAATTAATGTTAAAAAATTTGACTTGATCTTTTAATTTCATTATCATTATAAATTGTTCTCAATTGAAACAAAATACGGATCAAACGAAATATGCAATTTTTATTGAGAAATCATAGTAAGAGTGAAAACAAATCTCTTTAATGGCACATCGATTATATACCGATAGTGTTTTGCCAATGCGATCCGAGCAATTTAAGAACGAGCCTGGATGGAACTCGATCGAAAGCGGGCGCGTTCGATCGAGAAGACTTAGGGTGTGTCGAAGATTACGATCGATCTGCTCTTTAAATTCCTTGCGAAAGCCTGCCCTCGATATCGCTGGCGCGCAGATTCCCGTCCGACATCCCGGTCGGCTGTTTCGGCATCACGCACCGTGCGCGTTCGCGACGAGTAGAAGCAGACGACGCGTACGCACATCGTACAGTACATACCAGTACATACCGCGCGCGTCGTATCGTCGTATCGTCGTATGCGCGAGGACGTGTACGGGGACACGACGAGTACGTGTCCTGCGAGCGAGAGGTGATCGAGGGATAGATGCAGAGGAGAGCCGTCGTGGGCTCTCTGCTTCCGCGTGGACGGACAATCGCCTTTTGACGTGCGTAGCGACGTGATTAGCCACTTTCGCGCCCCGAACACGAGATTACCTTCTTTCTGCCTTGCATATGTACTTGAAGAGTCCCATGAATCTCCGTGAACAAAAAAAAATGTATACAAAGCTTACATGGCTGTACTCACATTGTTTGTGTTCACATCACAAGATCATTTTAATCTTAGTCTGATCATTCTTAAGAGACTTCATCCAATGAAATGATCGTCTCGAGACGTACTTTATAAGACGATCTCGAGTATAAGAACATTAGACTATAAATATGGATCATAATTCATACCAAAATACAAGTAATCGCCATTATGATGCAGAACGTAACACGAGCGAGATAAATTATCTGTACTCTTCAAATATTTTTTTCTGTTATTATTATTGTCGTCATGTTTGGTCTCGATGTCGTTGTAATTGTTAATTTATATATGTACGATAGATTTGTAATATCGTTCGAGATACTTTTCACCGTTTTCTTCACCACGGCTACGGCACTGCTCACGCGTGCGTGTACGTACGTGCGTGTGCACGTCCGTCGAAGAAAGCTCCTCCGCGCTTGAGTAACGCTACGGGACTCTCGTGAGTCTCTCCTCTCGGCTCTGGATGACCGCGGCCGATCGCCACTCGCATGAGCATTCGAATCACGCTGCCGGAGCGGGCACGTAACAATTTCTGTTCTTGGGACTGGAGCCACCGGATCGTCGATCTTTTCGTTCCTCACCTCGACTTCGCGACGCGCATTCGGCACGCCGAAACGATTCGACCCCTCGATTCTTAAGCCTCGACTCTTAATTTGGGCAAGAGCGCGTCACGTGAACGCTTCGTGCAACAAAGAACTTGAGAGTTGTTATACTGTTCTGAAAAATTTATGCTGGCCAATTTATAGCTTGAGTAACATTACTTTGCCGCACGGAAGAACAGCTTTTTGCTGAAATATCTGTAATCTAAAAATTTAGCTGTGGAGGGAAATCTGAAAATAATTGTGTTTAGATCATCAAAATAATTATATTATATAGGACAACTTAAACTGATTACAGAAATATTAAAATATTGTCATCAACATTTAAGTGTACGTTCTACTTAATTATTTTGATGATCCACCCCCCCCCTCAACAACAGAATTATTTTCAGATTTAACTAAATTTTGACATACTTTAGTAAAACTATTTTTTTTTTGTAAATATTTACATCTCGTGTACGTAATGTTTTTATATCTCACATGATAAAGATTTATTTTAATATACGATGCCCATTTCTATATTGTATTTATTATGTTATACGCTTTTTGTCTAAAAGAATAGATGGAAATAAAATAACATGAATAAAATAGTAAAATATAAATAAAAAGTACAGCAAATTTTTCAAAATTAAAAAGCCTCTTTTAAAATTCTATAATGTTTTATAGTTAAAAAATATTTTTTGAAATTATTGAGTTATCCGTTGTTTTTTTTTTACAAATAAACAAATTTTCTGCGTACGTCGCAGTCTTCCGATCATGCTCACACATCTTTTTGTCGCCGATATTCAATTCCTGCAAAATCTGGTCGCGGTTAATGCGATCATTAAGAGTCCCGACCGTGATAAGATCAATCCTCGCGTGTCGCAATGCCGTTGTACTTTCCGAGGTGTCGGCCATTTGAGGCCAAAGTTGTCGGTTTTACGGGCCAACGTGTTTCAGATTTCGATCGATGATGGCGACGTTTCGACATTCGGACTGCCGGTTGATCATGGTGCAAGATTTAAGTCTTGATTCATCAGCGGGGGGGGGGGAGAGGAGGAGGGGGACAAAGAGGGGGAATCCGATTGATAGGCGCATCAGGCACACGCTGAATTCTTATGCTAATGCGAGAAAGGAGCCGAGAAGACAATACATCTACACGCGAACTCCCGAGGCATCTGTATACACCCTGCGTCCCGTATTCTGTATTCCGTCAAGTGAATTAATACAATCACGAGGACCGCCGAGTGATTTTAGATGCGGTGAGATCGTGTCCACCACCCGCTATTTTTTATTGAGCTTTCTCATCGGTAAAAGGGAATCACGAGTGACGGTGAGGAAAATGCCTTGTAATGATTTGTAACGGGTCCAGAATTACTTTTCGCTGAAGAGATAATATGCGATCTCTGATCAAATCGGTTTGTCTGATATATAGATCGGTGCGTCATGAAAGATGTTTTTTCAGATGTAAAAATGAGAAATCATTTTTATAGAAAAGTTGACTCATTGATTACATTCAGCAGAAAAACAAATCAGTTAGATTCAGCAAAAAACTAAAGGCAAGAACAGTCATATTGAAGAATCACTAAACGCTAACTGATTAGTCTTCTCTGCTGAACGCAGCTATTGTCTTCACCCTTGTCCTGTAATATTGATTCAGTTAAACATTACATTAAAAAACAACTGCGTATATAACTCGAAGAATAATGTCATGCTTTTAATATCGATTTTCATATAATTTAATTAAACAACTCTTAATTAGTTTGAAGAAAAATTTACACAGATATCTTTAATGTTTTGATAAATCGAGTTTAATTTGATAATTGTTATTTTGTTAAAAAAATTAATCACTTTTGTGTCTTCCACTTTTCTAATACTTATAACGTAACGCTAACGCACAAAATAGGTCAAATCAAAGACTGCCAATGAATTTGTTTAAACTAATGTCCGTGCATGAATATGCAAAAATACCATTACGTATACGTTTCTTTTACGTGATCGATTTATTGAGTTGCTTGCTAAGAAAGTATAAAGCCGTCCCTTGTCTCCTTTCTCCTTCTCTCTGACAGCTTCGCGATGTATGATACACGTGGATCTTACTTCCGGTTAGTACCCGAACATTACGGTATCGATAGCTTCCGTCAATCATGAACAGCACTAAATTATGATCCATCTTTAAGTCATCTCCTCAATTTCAAAAGATTCTAGAAAATCTTCGAACAATTATTTTGGGATAAATTTTGATATTCGTTTACGCGTAATAAAAAAGTAGATAACAATATCATTAGTCAATTATAACTAATTATATAAATATATTAGATTAAAAACATAATCTTGTTAATGTTTAGCTAAAAGAATTAATTAAATGTTAAAAAATATATATCATGAAA